CTTTTGTCGTTGTAAAAATACACATCTTATATCCTCAATAATGTTTTTTTTTGTGCGACAATATTCCGATGGATGTATCTATATGCATTTTCAACATTGTCGTTTTTCTTCATTCCAGCATCCGCTACTGTCCCGTAACTGAAAATGTCCACCACTAAAAAGGTCGAAAGTAAAATCAATGTGCGTGTTGCTGTGAGAGTAAGGTAAAAGAAAAATTCTTACTTTTAACTAATCCATATCAGTATCGTTTTTAAGACCTATGAGCGATTCTGAAAAAGCAGACAATGCCAAGTCTATCGTGAACGAAAGCATTCTCCTCTTTCGACAAGGTAATAAACGATTCTATTGTTTCGTGCATCTTTTTGTGGAATTAATGTGCTATTCCATGTTTGGAGACTTGATTTTTCTATGAACAATCGCACCTGTTCACTGCTTCTAACATATCACTACCTTAAAGGCAGTGTCCAGGCAAATTTTCGACTCCGGTTTCACCTGTTTTGGACCATTCGTTGTGCTCAACATGAACAGCAGCTTTGAATACCGTCAATTGTGAACAAAGAACAGAGATTAAGAGCCTTCCTTTTGATTGACAAAAAGAGTGTTTGGTGGAACGATAGCATGCCTTTTTGCCAAAAACTGCTTTTGAGAAAAACCAAAACAGCGGCGGTGCTGAGGAGGAAATCGCTGAGTGGGAGGACCTAAACTCTGGAGAGGGTTTCTTGCTTTCTATAGTGAATTATTCGCATGAACTTTAAAATTAACTTAGTTCGGAGATCGGCCATCATAATCTAATGAGAAATGAAACCCTTAAATTTGTCTGGACGCTGCCTTTAACTAGAGTCAGGAAAAGGGTGTACAATCTCTTTTTATTCGGCAATATTAGTTTTCCTTTACTGAGGAGACTTAGTAGCATACACTACAATGATGGCTATCTTAAGATATATAATTGATTTAACGGATATCTCTCTGCACAGCGTGCAGAAATTTCGATGATAACTTTCTGAGCATAGCTGCAGTTTGAAAGAATTACATTGCTTGCTGTATGAACAGTCCGTGCGTTTTGGACTTAACCTAGCGAAATGATGTCGTTCACAGTCTTTTCTAAAACCTATTTCAACTAGTGGATCATTTCAAAATTAGTCGCAATGCCACCTCTCAATGCTAATGTACAAAATTATGTAAAATATCTTGTAAAATTGTGAACTCTCTTATGTTTAAATAATCTTGTTCTCATTGGTCATTGCTATTCAATTACTTCAACATAATTTCAATCCCACCAAGGCTATGTTCAGTTGGCGGGGGTCTGCTTCACCTCATAATTAAAGTTAGTCCTCTAGTCTTTCTAAGCCTAATATGTTCGGTGCATAATCGAGCACGACGGAAATGCGCAGCGTTCGGTTTGTCCGAAGTCAGTGGCGCGTCGTCAGACGTTGGATACTGTTCCTATGTAACGGTATTCACCTGCCAAACCGGCAGTATCAAAGCATAGTCACCGAAGCAGAGTCTTGTACTGCTGCATTGATGGAGTCGTGCATGGTATCAGGTGAATACCGGCCGTGTACGCACTTGATGCAATAAGTGCTGCTCGAGGATGCGTTCGGTCTATTGGTGGGTAGAAAATCGTTGCAACTGGTGAATTGTGGACGGATTTTGTATCTGTTCAATCGGCCAAATTGCTACATTTGTCTCAGATAAAACTCCACATTTGACACAGGTTTCTTTTTTTTCCATTTCACAACATTTTCTTCATCTGCCTTCTTTATCATTCCTCATCATTTTACACGTACAA